CACCATTCCTCCTCTTTCTCTTACCCACACTTTCCTGTCTCCTTTCCTTCCCCCTTTACCTCTAAGGAAGGAGGATATGCAGACTCCTGGAATGGAAAGAGCAGCGTCTTGGGAATCAGAAGGCCTGGGGTCAAATCCCATCTCTTACCTTTACTACCTGTGTGATCCCAGGCAATTCATTGAACTTGCCTAGGCTTCAGCTTTACTTTTTATCAATGAGAGGGTTGGCCCAGATGGCCTCTAAGGCCCCTTCCACCTCTCAATTTGGGATCCTATGTTCCCCTCCTCCCCTTTCTCTTCCCTCATGCTTTCTACATCTCCCCCTTTCCCTTTCTTCCTCCTTTTCCTTCCTCTTCATTTCCACTCACCTTCTCCCTTTCCCCCTCTCTGTGCTCTCCCAATTAGTGGGAATGTTCCACAGACCTTGGAAACAGTGATGCTGTCCTTAGCAACAGGGTGGTAGCTTAAGAGTCAGCGAATCTGTATTCGAATGATGACTCTGCCACTGAATTAATGTCCATGTGATCCAGACCTTAGCCCTTCTGGCTCAGTTTCCTCATCTGTAAAATGCAAATCAAATATCTTCAGGATTATGGGATTTGAGGCAGAATAAACCTTAGAAGCCTCATCTAGTCCAATTCTCTTATTTTGGGGACTATTTCTTTGAGAGCAGAGGAAGGGCCAGACCGAAGTTTTCATCCCTCAGCCTTTGCAGATCTGCAATATATCAGCTATTTCAATGCTGAGAGAGTAGCTTGGGGGAGGTGAGAGGTTAAATCCCTTGTCCAAAGTCACAAAGCCTGGAGGTGTCAGAGACAAACTTTGGAATCCAGATCTTGTCTTGATTCCAAGACTGTTGCTTTATCCAACTTTGCAAATGAAAAAAACTGAGGCCTGGACAGGGAAAAATAGCTTTCCCAAAGTCACACAGAGAGTTTAGGGGTAACACTGGAAATAGAACCCAGGGCCTGTGAGCCCTTATCCCCCCCATGCTCTTTTCTAACTCACCGTACTGCCTTCCACATGTACAAGTCATTGTGCCCTTTGCATAGACAGAGATGACTTTACTAACACAATTTCAGTAGCGCTTGGCTTTGGAGTTGTTTTCCCAGTGTTTTTTTTCTGATCCATCCCACTCTCACATCTGGCTTCCTCCAGGATCTAGGGAAAAAATAGGTGGGATGAGAGTCAGGAATATGGCCATGGAAGGAAGCAAAGCCAGATGGTCCCTGTGCCTTCCTGCCCTTGACTTCATCATCTCTGCATTCTCTCTCCCCTGAGCCTCAGCCACAGCTGGAATCCCAGGCTGTCAGAGCTGAAGGGTCCTTTAGATCCCAACTAGCCCAATGTCCTCCTTTTCCAGGGGAGTAGGCTGAGGCCCAGAGAAGGGACCAGTGACAGCAGCAGAGCTGACACCAGAACCCAGGGCTCTGGAATATTCTAAGCTGGGGAAGGAGGCTACTTGTTCTAGAGCACAGACCCGGGGGAGGACAGCTGGTGGGAGGGCAGGTGTTCCCAGAGTCAGGGCAGGTGAAGGGCAGAGCAGCACCTTGTATGGGGAGGTGGGTTTTTAACCAGGAGTTTATAATCCTAGGCCTGACCATGTTCCCACCTATGACCCTGACCTCTGACTGGTGAGCCTTATTGTACCTGGTTTCATCATACCATGATATCTCCATATCCATCCAAATGTTGGGCCCTCTTCCCTGAAACCATGGGCTCTGTTTGGTGAGGATTTATCTTGTCTTGCCTAGTTTCAGACCCTTCCCTGCCTCACCCCCCATTTCTTGGCCGTTTCCATGCCACCTTTCCCCTTCTCCCTCCCTTACCCCCTCATCCTTGTTTTCCAATTCATTCTTTATGATCTTGAGTTTTGGAGGCTTGGCAGTTCCATCAGTAACCTTTTTTAAGTCAAGGAGTCTCCTTATGTCCCGCTGGAATTTCTATCTCATGATTCAATTTCAGCCATCTTCTTCTTTAGAGCTTTCACAGGTAACTCATTGCATTCCCCCGCTCCCTGCACCCCCCCCCCCAGCACTATTTGATGATCCGACATGAATGTGACATGTTTCTCCCAGGAGATCTAACCCTGTATCTCACTCTAGATCATTTGATCCTACTGTCCAGTTCAAAAGTTCCACTGCATTGGACCCCTTAAAAATCTCCCTTGAAGAGGCACTGAGGTGTCCATACCATTTTTCTGCCCAGTATCTGCTGAAGCATTCTGCCCACCTGATCTGTTTTATCCCACCTTCCCTGATTCTCCTGCCTTCCCAGCTACTCCCAGTTAGGACTTTGACCCAGCTTGACCGCAACACCCCTCCTTGGTTCCTCCTCTTTGGTGTCTTTCTGTCCCCCACATATCTGCTTATGACTACATCTTCATTTGCAAGAGGGCTGAGTCCCTCCCCCAGGGGCTTGTAGGTCAGCTGAGGCGGTGCAGAGGTGAGCCCCATGGTCCCCTAGAAGGGCCCTGGCCATTGTGGTTGACTGTCAATCCTTGGTGTCCCACTGTCCGCTGTCCTTGAGTGGCAGCCTGGTCAAGTGGATATAAGGCTGGCCTTGGAAACAGGAACACCTGGGTTCATTTCCTGCCTGTGACACATGCTGGCTGTGTGACCATGGGTAAGTCACTTAACCTCAGTGTCTCCAGGCAACTCACTGATTTGATCTGTTGATCTCCATCACAGGAGGAAGTTTCCACAGGGGCGTTTGTCACACCTATGAAATCAGAAAATATACTTTAATTTCCAAATTCATATTCCCATAGTAGTGTGCTTTATATTCATTATTTTGACTAGGGAGCCTGATTCACCCTCCTGTAGCTTGAGAGTTCACCTAAAGCCAAAAAAGACAGACCTCTTGGGACTGATGCAGGGATGAAAGGAAGCTTTCCTCTCCACCATGGGAGGTTTTCTTTCTCCATAGCCTTGGAGTCGGTTCTTAGCTGTGGATCTAGAATTGGGAGAATTAGGTTCATTAGTGATATTATAATAGTCCTAATTATTGTTTCAAATATCCTAGAGCCTAAAGTGGGGATGGGGGGGGGGAATGGTGACTGACTTCTTCTTCAACTTTTGGACTAAGGAAGAAGCTCCCTGACCTGAGGGACAAAAGCTGGTCTCATGTGGATTGAATTGAGCAGTGACTGTTAGCATTAGGTTGGGATCGGTGTCTTAGTATCTTGATACTGATTTTCCTTCTCCAGAAAACCCTGCTCTATTCTCTATCTTATCTTTTCATGTTGTTTTGCTTATTTTAGTTTTTCTTGGAATGGGGGGAGGTGGTCCTGCCTTGTGATTTCATGGGTGTAGGTATCCGCCCATGGGGAAGCTTCCTCCAGAGATGAGCCCAGCCAATGTCTACAAGGTGGTGTAGCTTTAAAGAGCAGCTCCCTGCACAGGGCATTCAGCAGGTGGTGACTTGCCCATGTTCTTACAGCCGGTATGTGTCAGAGGAAGGCCTTGGATCCAGGACTACTTCAAGGCCAGCCCCCTATCGATGACTGTATGCTGCAGGGAAGAGAATGAGCATTTATTAAGTGCCTACTATGTACCAGGTGCTGTGTTGAGCACTTTTACACATATGACCTCATTTGATCCTCACGATATACCTGGCGGGTTATTGCCCAACTCTTTAAAGAATTTGAATTTTTTTAATGCAGTGTGTGTGTGTGTGTGTGTGTGTGTGTGTGTGTGTGTGTCCTCGAGTGCCAGTGCAGGTTAGAGAGGGATAAGTGAGTAGAAACACTTGCCAAACTCCCAGTAAATCTGTGGAGCAAGCATGTGACTGGGGCCTGTCTGTCCAACTGGGCCATTACTGAGGCCCTTTTCCTTCCTCACCTGCCAGCAGGTGTACCAAGTGCAGGCAGAGGCTCCACGGAGGAAGCAGGCAGACTGTGTCTGCCCTAAACCTGCCAAGTGGAACTTGGAATGAGAACCTCACAGCAGGGCACTGCAGCTGGAGGGGAGAGACCAACCTTGGAGCTGTCCAGCCTCCTCCCTGCTGGGCTCCCGCCCCATCCATTCTTCACCTCCTCCTTAGCCCCTCCCCCCAGACCTTTTCCCAGTCTCTGCCCCTCCTCCACCTCCCACCTTCTCCTTTTTTCTCCTACTCCCCACCCTCTTTTCTCCCCACTCCTTTCCCAATCCCACCTAATTACCTGTGTCACCTTAGACAATTACCTGTGTCACTTAGTTTTCATGAGGTTCAGTGGCATCTTCTAAAAAAGGAAAGGGTTGGATTAGATGGTTCCAAGATCCCTTCCAGCTTCAGATGGTCATGCTATGATTCTCTCCCAAACTTCCTCCCTTCCCCCACCCCCTTTCCTTCTCACTCCACCCTCTACTTTGACTCCTCCCCCCTCCCCCCAATCAGAGAAAGCAGAGTCCTTTAGGAGAAAGAACAGTGACTCCATCCCAGGACCTGGATTCAAATCCTAGCTTTGGTTCTTACCCGGTGTGACCCAGTGTAAATCACTTAACTTTGCTGCCCTTTACATCCATCTTCCATAAAATGAGACTGTTGGACTAGATGGTCCCTGAGACCTCTTCCAGCTATCAGTGTACCCCCTTCCCCTTCCCTCTCCAGCATTTCCTCCCTCTCCTCTCCCCTTTCCCTTTCCCAGCCATGTCCTCTCCTTTTTCTCAGGTGCTCCCCCCAACCTACCGTCATTCTGCTCCTTCTCCTCCTATTACCAACTCTTTTTTCCCCTAGGCAATGGGGTTAAGTGACTTGCCCAGGGTCACACAGCTAGTAAGTGTCAAGTGTCTGAGGCCGGATTTGAACTCAGGTCCTCCTGACTCCAGGGCAGGTGTTCTACCCACTGGGCCACCTAGCTGCCCTGTTACTCCTTTACCTCTAAGTAGTATGGGAGGCAGATTCCATAAGTGGAAAGGGCAGCGCCTGGGGAGTCAGAGGACCTGGGACCAAATACCATCTTTGATTTCTCACATTTGTAATATCAGACAAGTCACTGAACTTTCCTGGCCTTCGGTTTCATGGCTGTTGGACTGGTGGACTCTGTGGGCCCTGGAAGATTAACTTTATGACCCTGTGATGCACTCTTGCCCTTCCTCCTCCCCATGCCGTCCTCTCTTCTTTCTCTGCTCCCCTTTCTTCCCCCTTTCCCAACCTCTCCTATCACCTTACCTTACACCCCCTTTCCTCCAGGATAATCCTTGGCAGTCTCACCTAGTTCTGCTCCCATATTTTGAGGGCAGGGGAGGGGCCAGATGTAGGAGTTCATCCCTCAGCCTATGCAGACATACAATTTGTCAGTTCTGTAAACTCTGAGAGAGTAGCTTGGGGGAGGTGAGAGGTCACACAGGGAATTTAGTGGCAAAAATTGGGAATCGAACCCAGGGCCTGTATCTCACCCATGCTCTTTTCTAACTCAGCATGCTGCCTTCCACATATACAAGCCATTGTGCCCTTTACATAGGCAGAGATGACTTTACTAACACACTTTCAGTAGAGTTTGGCTTTGGAGTTGTTTTCCCAATGGATTTTTTTTTTCTGATCCATCCCGCTCTCACACCTGGCTTCCTCCAGGATCCAGAGAAAAAATGGGTGGGATGAGAGTTAGGAAAGTGGCCATGGAAGGAAGCAAAGCCAGATGGTCCCTGTGCCTTCCTGCCCTTGGCTTCATCATCTCTGCATTTTCTCTCCCCTGAGCCTCAGCCACGGCTGGAATCCCAGGCTGTCAGAGCTGAAGGGCCCTTTAGATCCCAACTAGCCCAATGCCCTCCTTTTCCAGGGGAGTAGGCTGAGGCCCAGAGAAGGGACCAGTGACAGCAGCAGAGCTGACACCAGAACCCAGGGCTCTGGAATATTCTAAGCTGGGGAGGGAGGCTACTTGCTCTAGAGCACAGACCCGGGGGAGGACAGCTGGTGGGAGGGTGGCAGAGTTAGAGCAGGTGAAGGGGCAGAGCAGCCCCTTGTATGGGGAGGTGGGTTTTAAGTCAGGTGTTTATGCATCCAGGCCTGCCCCTGTTCCCACCCCTGTCATCCTGGGCTCTGATTGGTGAGCCTTCCTTCTCCTTACCTGGCCAGATGCTCCAGGCCACCACACCCCTTTTCATTCACCTCCAAGCCATGCTCCCCTCTTCTTTCCTCTCCCACACTGAAACTTAGAAAGGAAAGACAGCCTCACAATACTCCCTCTGCACAGGGGCGTGTGGTTGGGTGGTCAGAGCCTCAGAGCTATGCAGCCTCTGGCCTAGACTTCTCTGCTCATCCTGTACCTTTCCCTCCCTGCTCCCCTTTCCTTCTCTCTCCTTCTCCCACCTTTTCTTACACTCTCATTTCTTCACCTCCTTTCTAGTCCTCCTTTTCTCCCCTTTCCTATATTCCTCCATTCCTCATACTCTTCTTTTCCCCTCCAAACCCATCCTTTCTTCTCACCACCTTGTCACTCGCCTCCTGTCCTCTCCCTGGCCAGCCCCTAAACTCTTTTCTCCCACCTTTCCCTCTCCTCTGCCTCCAATTCCTCACCTTTTCCTCCGCCTTCCCTCCCTACACTTCCCTCTTAGCCCCTCCTCCCAAATTTCTCCTCTTTCCCCCAGTCCTTTCCCTCCTCTTCTTAAGTGGATGTGAGGTTCCCTGGAGGAAAGAGCAGAGCCTTGGGAGTCATAGGGCTTGGGTTTAAATCTCGTCTTTGAGTTTACAACCTGTATCATCCTTGGGAAATCACTTTAACTTTCCTGGGCTTCAGTTGCATCTCCTATAAAAGGAGGAAGGGGAGGCTGGACTATGGTCTCCGAGGTCCTCTCCACCTCCAAGTTTATCTTATGATCTCCTCCCCCTTCCCTCTCCAGCCTTCTCCTCCCCTTCTCCCTACAGCCTTCTTCTTCTCCACCCTTTCCTCTTTCCTGCCTCCCTCACCCTCTCCCTAGCCCGTTCCTTGCCTGGGGATCACGAGAGGCAGAGAACCCCACAGTGGAAAAAGCAGAGGCTCTGAAGTCAGAGGACATGAGTTCAAATTCCATCTTTGGTTTTTACTACCTGTGTGAACCTGAGCAAGTCATTTAACTTTCTTGGGCTTCTTTTCCATCTTTTATAAAAGAAGGGATTTGGACTACAAGGTCTCTTAAATTCTTTCCATCTGTAAATTTATGATCCTATGCTCCTTTCCTTGCCCTTGCCCCTCCTTCATGCTTTCCTTGCCCTCCTCTCCTCTTCTTTCCCCTCCCCACCTCTTCTTTCTCTCCCTCTGTTCTCCTTTCCTCCCCTTTTCCCTCCCCTCCTCTTATTTCCTCTCCCTCTGTTCTTTCTTTCCCTCCTCTTTCCCTTTTTTCTCTTCGGAATGGGTGATGTCATCCTTGACAACAGCTTGCTGACTTGGGAGTCAGTGAGCCTGTGTTCAAATTGTGGCCTTGCCATTTAATACCTGGGTGACCCAGGCAAAATGGAGATTTTCCCTCTTCTGGTTCTCAGGTTCATCTGTTCAATGAGGGGGTTGGGCCAAGAAGCCTTAGAAGGGACCTTCTGGTAGAAGATCTTTGACCCTGTGAGCCTGAGTTGGGCACAGCACTCCCCTCCACAATCATGAACCTTTAGGATTAGCTTGGGTTGGATTAGGGCCAGAAATCACTTTCATGGTCTCTCCTAGTCTCACTCTCTCATTCTTTTAGGGAGTAGAGAAAGAAGGGTCAGCAGGTATTATTTCATCCCTCGACCTTTACAGATGTGCCCTGGGGAATGAATGATTCCCTGACTTGCCCAGGGTCCCCAAGGCAGTGAGTGTCAGAGGCAGTATTTGAACCAAGGTCTTCTGGGCCTGACCCCAAGACCAGCCCTTTTCCCACCATGCCTCTCAATCTCTAATTTGGCAAATGGAACAATTTAGGCCTGGAGAGGGGAAGCTAGTGGCCCAAAGTCACACAATCTCAAAACCATAACTTCATCTTCTGAATCGTGTATGATTCCAAATCCCATGTGCTTTTCAAAACCTCGCCCAGCTACCTTCCACATTTAAGGGCAGAGACAAAGACTATTTCACTAATACACTTTCACTGGAGCATGGCTTTGGAGTCATTTTCCCAAAAGATATTTTCCTGATCCAGTCCACTCTTATACCCGGTCCCCTTTGGAATCATTTATGTGCATTTTGGAAGTGGGGTGTGTGTGTATGTGTGTGTGTGTGTTTACGGGGGTGGGTGGGGTTAGGAAGGTGACCACAGAATGAAGCAAAGCTTCCTGTGACCTCTGGTCCTTCATTTGCTCATCTCTGCCTTCTCATCCCACTGACTAGAATCAGAGCTTGTCAGAACTGGAGGGGCTTTTAAAAGACTACCTAGTCCAGAGTTCTTAATCAGGGACCTTGGATGGAAAAAAAAAACTACATTTTTGTATTCACTAACTGCTAACTAAAATTGAGCATTTCCTTGCATTACTGAAAATGTTCAAGGAAGGGGTCCATGGGCTCCACCAATATCGAAGGGATCCCTGACACAAAAAGGTCCCCCCATCTTACAGGGGAGGAGGCTGAGGCCCACAGAAGGGACCAGTGACAGCTAGCAGCAGAGCTGACACCTGAACCCAGGGCTTCTGAGTATTTTAACCCGGGAAGGGAGGCTGATTGCTCTAGTGAGTGCACAGGCCTGGGGAGGACAGCTGGTTGGAGGGCAGGTGTGCCCAGAGTCAGGGCAAGTGAAGGGCAGGACAGCCCCTTGTATGGGAAGGTGGGTTTTAAGCCAGGTTTTTGTAAGTCCAGGCCTGCCCCTGGGTCCCTTTCTCACTGACTGTGGGTTCTAGAGACTTGGCACTAACCTCAGAAGCCTCTATCCCTGGCCAAGAACGGGAAGAGTCCGTACCTCTATCTGTGCTGCGGAATCGGAGAGCTGGTGCAGGCCTTCGGCCGGCTGACCTCCAGCCAGGGGGGCGTTTTTTTAATGAGCCAACCAGTGGAGGAGGTGCTCATCCGGGATGGCCAGGTGGTGGGCATCAGGTCAAAGGATCGGATCGCCAGGTGCAAGCAAGCAGCTGATTTGCGATCCCAGCTATGCGCCGGACCGGGTGTGCAAGGTCGGCCAGGTCATCAGGGCCATCTGCATTCTTGGGCACCCTATTAGAAACACCAACGGGGCCAACTCGGGACTCATCATCATCCCTTCCACCCAGACAAACCGCAGATCGGACATTTATATCTTCCTCACTTCATTCGTACACAACGTGGCTGCACAGGGCAAGTACATCGCCCTGGTGAGCACAACTGTGGAGAGTAAAGACCCCAAAAAAGAAATCCAGCTGGCTCTGGAGCTCCTGGAGCCCATTGAGCAAAAATTCTTTTTCATAAGTGACCTCCACATGCCTAGTGACTTGGGGACCAAAAGTCAGATCTTTGTAATGACCTGCTACGATGCTACGGTTCACTTTGAGAGCACCTGCGACGATATAAAGGAGGTCTATAGAAAGATGACAGGATCCGAACTGAAATTTGACTAAAACACTCTAGACCATCTTATCGGGGGAGAAAATTACTAATGTGCTGCGAATATAGGAGAAATTTGGATATCAGAAATAAAGCAACTCCCCCAGGGAAACATCATGGAAATCTGTTCTTGTGTGAAATGCTTTTCTTATCTTTCAAGAGGTGGAGTGAACAGTATCCTCCAACTCCCCATCTCCCCAACCCCCCAGTCTCTTAGAAGGGGTGCCTAGTCTCAGTCCTGCCGCAAAGTGTGTGAAATCTCTTTCACAACTTGTTGAATTTTGACTTACAGTAAAAGAGAATCTTGTGTTCTATTAATTTATGTAGTGGGTAAAGAGTTCTAGGACTTGGTGTATGGAAGACTGCATGTTCAAATTCCTCTCCTCAAACATAACAGTCAGCCTCTCAGCCTTACAGTTCCTCGTATATATGAGGTTAATGATTCTTTATCACATCTTTGAAAGACTGAAGTAATACTTAACCAGTAATTAATAAACTTAACTAGTAATTAATAAACTTAACTAGTAAATTAATACAATTTAATTTGATTTAATTTAATCTTTAATTTCTCCCTTTAAAAAAGTCATATTATTAAAGGTAGAATGTTGTTCAGTATGTTCAGATTACTTACATATCTTGTTCAACTTAACTATATCCCTTTTTTTCCTATACCAAAAAAAAAAAAAAAGATACCATTGGACTCTGAGTTTGAATCCCTTGGGGCTTGGGCACTTGTTCCCTTCCCCTTTCTAGGCCTCTCCTCAGCTTTAAAATAAGAAGATTGAGCTAAATAACTTCTAGCTTTTTCCTTAAGAGGTCACTTTCTCTCAGATGATGGTCTATAATCCTTTAAAATAACTGATATGATTAAAACTAGTTAGTTACAGTAGTAGTGTTCTTAAAATTGTTCATCACATTCCGAACTAAGATGTCACTTAAAGTTCTTATCTGTACTTCAGTAGCACACTGGGAATTCCATCATGATAGTGGGATCTTGTATAACCACCCTTTTACCAATATCCCATCATATCCATCATACTGTTTTTGTTAAGGCATTTTATACCTGACATTCTAAATGCCAGAGCTGATTTTTTAAAACAAGAATTTTGTTTAAAGGTTCCCAAACTACAACTCTTTTAATGATGTCCAGAAGAATATGATCAACCTCTTTTTACAACATTTCCAGGTCATATTAATTGTTCCTAGGAAGTATAATATCATACATTAAAAGACCAGTTGCATGTTTTTTTTTTGTTTGTTTGGGTTTTTGGCTTTTCTTCTGGTAGAAACATTTAACTTTTGTAAATGACAATTACTTGACTCAAATTTGATGAACTATGAGTTATTGACTACCAATTCATCTTTTATGGTATTTCTAGTGATTTGAATGAAGAAAATCAGGCATCCTTTGACAATCTTAAACTTAATATGATTCCTATTGATAATAAAACATGCTAGGCTGACAACTTGTAAAAGATGAAAAAGAGGAAGTAATAGTTCTGTAGCCAAAGCCAGTACAAAATCTATGCTTTGCATTAACATACAAGATATATTTCAGTGCATTACTTTCAGAGTTAGCTGTATTCAGCATTCAGGAATTCCATGACAAGTGGATGGGAGGTGATTTATCAAATTCTTTTAGATGATCAATTTGTAACAACAGAATTTTGTCTTTTGACTATGGTAATAAATCATTTGAAACCTGAAATAAGGAAACCATGGAATAGATAAGGCTTCCAAATAACCTTTATGGTGTAGAGTATAGAAAGAGTATGTACTCAGAATTAGAAAACTCTGGTTTCAAATCCTTCCTTAGGGACACTTATTGTCTGTGTGACACTGGGCAGGTCAGCCCTCTCAGTTTCCATTTTTGACATCTGTAAAATGGGGATGACAAATAAACAGCATCTTCCTCATAAAGTTGTTGCAATCAAATGAAATAATGTATAAAAAGAGCTTTTCAAACCTTTAAAAAATGCTGTATCAATGTGAGTTATTATTCTTCCCCAGTAGGGCTTAGGGGGAAGCATTTTAGATAGGAATTAAAAGAATTGAATTAAGCTGTGGTTCTTACTGGCTAGTAAGTAAGTGAATCACTTAACTCATGTGTTCATCTTTGAGAGGTGGGCATACCATCTGTCCCATATTGATTGTAAGGTGATTGTAAACATAAAGCTAGATAACAAGTGGGGGACCTGAGCTAGATCTGAAGAAAAGGAAGAATTGAAGTCATAACTTGGGGGATTGGTAGTTAGTCAATATCCGAGCAGAAATACCTACTGTCTATTTACATCTTTATCATGTGTTGTCTAATGCAACTAGGCAATACACTTATTAAACACACACAATCAACACTGGAATCGAATAAAATGTGAGGAATCATTATAATTTATCAATGTGACATAATTGCACTGGAGATTTCATGTTACAATGGAGAAAGAACATTGGATTTGAGGTTGGAAAACCAGGATTTGAATCATGGCTCTGCCAATATTGTCCTGCCTTGGGCAAGTCACAACACCTTTTTGGGCCTCAGTTTCCTCATCTGTTAAATGAGAGAGTTAGAGTAGTTGACCTAAGATCTTTCAGCCCTAAAGCTACTATCCTTTCATCTTTTAGTTAATCCATTAGTATTTCATATAAATTATGCCTAGAAGAAAGTATAGTCACTATGAGAGGCCTCCTTATTTACCAGTTAAAGGTACATTTTATATGTGTGTGTGTGTGTGTGTATACACACACATACATACATGTCCATATCCATACATACAGACAGATAGTCTTGACCTGTGATTTGATTAATGTGGGTAACTGAAGAAATATTCCCCAGTGACGAAAAAATAGTCTGTAGATTCAGACAGGTACCTGAAGGTCCTGAAGGGAGTTGACTGAGTAGCAAGCGACATAGTCAGACCAGCATTTTAGAAAGATCACTTTGGCAACTGAGCAGAGGATTGACTCCTGAGTGGGGAGAGAGTGGAGGCAGGGAAACCATTCAGAAAGCTATTGCAATATTATTCAGGCATTAGATGATGAGGACCTATATCTGGGTGATGTCTATGAGTCTCCATTCACAGGGACACATGAGAGATATTTTGAAGAGAGAATCAGGGGACAGCTAGGTGGCGCAGTGGATAGAGCACCGGCCCTGAAGTCAGGAAGGACTTGAGTTCAAATTCAGCCTCAGACCAAACACTTGACTATTACTAGCTGTGTGACTCTGGGCAAGTCACTTAACCCCAATTGCCCTAAGAAAAGAAAAAGAAAAAGAAAAAGAAAGAGAGAATCAACTCAGGCTTGGCAACATATTGGTTAAATGGGGGGGGGTGGAGAAACAGTGAAGAGTTGAAACTGACACAGAGATTTCAGGCCTGGGTGACTGGGAGGATGACAGTGCCCTTGATAGTAACAGGAAAGTTTGGAAGAGTAGAGGGTTTGAGGGAAAGATACTAAGTTCTGTTTTGGACTTGTTAAATTGAAGATGCTGACAGAACATCCACTTTGAGATGTCCAATAGGCAGTTAATGATGGAAGGCTACAGGTTAAAAGCAGAATTAAGAACAGATAAATAGATGTGAGAATCATTTGAGAAACGATGACAGATGAATCTGTGGGAGCTGATGAGCTCATCTAGAACTCTGTAAGGGTCAAATAATGATAACATTCATGAGGCACTTTGTAGAGCTTAAAGTCCTGGCCCTCTACACTATACTATCTCACTAGATGAACTACAGGTATTATTATCCCTGTTTTAGAGATGACGAAACACTAAAGGGACCTTTCTTAGCTATAAAATGAAGAGGTTGGGCTGGTTGACCCCTTGCAGCTTTTTTTTTTTAAACATTTGGTTTTGTTTTGGAGTCCAGATCTGTGATTTCTGCAGTACAAGGTACTCCCAGGAATTTGGACAGCTTCAGCATAAAGTAATATATTAGAAAGTAACCCTTAGTCATGCAGCCAGAGTAGCTAGTGTGTGTCAGACGCAGGACTTAAAGCTCTCTTTTCCTGATGCCAAGATTGCGCCCCCCATCCACCGTGCCACATTCCTTCTCATTTCCGCAGGAGAACGTTGGAGCCCAGAGAAGGGAAACACTTTTCCCATCATCATATAGTAGATCAAGAATGAGATGCTAGGTTTCTTGACTCTTGGCAGTGGGCTTTTCATGTAACTGAAGTTCCCGTATAAATTATATATTTGGAGGTGTAAGCGCCCATCCTGCTTGTCTGCAGATATCTAGAGTCATTAATATTTCATACAGCTTAGGGCTGCCTCTAAATGAGGGCACTCAAAAGAGCACTTTCTGAAAACTCAGACATGTTGTTGTTGTTTATCCTTCGTTTCAAAGAGGACCAGTGACATCACGGGGTGACATTTTGACTCTAGTGTGAATTGGATTCAAGTGAGGCAGAGCTGCACAAAGTTGTCAGCCTCACTCTCTCTTCCTGAGTCATTGAAGTCCAGTGGCAAGACAAGGGGAGAAGGGAAGGGTAAACATGAGGGGGGAAATGTGTATTTTAAGTGAGGAATTTACTTATTGCAAATATGCTGAATTCCTTAATGACCAAGTGAACTTTCCAAGTTTTTAAGAGCCAAAACAAGGTGAGATAGGAGGAATTTTAAGCTGTCTCTGCATGGAGCAGACCTACCCAGCATTCTATACTTTGTCACTCCTCCAGTCCATCCCTAAGTTCTCATCCCTTGTTCCATGTTCATTATTTATGTAGCTGTAATAAATTAGAACTCCAAGAGAAAGGTACATTTCCTTATTACTTAAACGGTTTGGTAGAATTCATTAACAGGAGAAAGTCAGCAATCTAGAATATGGAGCATAACAACTTTCACATATCAGATGATCAAGAAGCAAGAAGGCAAGGCTTCCTTGGTGGGACGTACAGTGGAAGCGAAAACTGAAATGGGTAAGGATGTTGAAATAGGCTCTGGTTGGGTGGAGGGATTGAATCGGAAAAAATGGGCTTTCCTAGGAGAGACCTAATTGACATTGGTCTGTTTTCCCTAAAACACTGGCCTTCTCCCTCTGTGCCACAACTGTGGAGCTAGAATTTACATTGCCTTTTCACTTCATTGTGTATGCTAGCCATGAAATGATTGTTATCAGTTATAGTTAGCTAACTTGCATTTATGTTGTTCTTAGATTTCGAGCTGGAAAGGAACTTTGTTGTGGTTTGTTGTTCAGTTGGTCAATCATGTCCGACTCTTCATGGCCCCATGGACCATGCCAATAGTGTCCACGGGTTTTCTTGGCAAAGATATTAGAGTGGTTTGCCATTTCCTTCTCCAATGCATTAAGACAAACAAAGGTTAAGTGACTTGCCCAGGGTCACACAGCTAGTAAGTATTTGAGGCTGGATTTGAACTTAGGTCTTCTTTTTTCTTAAAATTTATTTATTTATTTTTAGTTTTCAATATTCACTTCCCTGAGATTTTGAGTTCCAAATTTTCTCCCCATCTCTCCCCTCCCCCCACCCCACAATGGCATATAGGCTCTACATATACATTTATATTGAACCTATTTTCACATTAGTCATATTGTAAAGAAGAATTACTACCAATGGGAGAAACCACGAGAAAGAAGAAACAAAAAACAACAACAAAAAAGAGAGATCAAATAATGTGCTTCAATCTGCATTCAGACTCCATAGTTCTTTTTTTGGATGTGGATGGCATTTTCCATCATGAGTCCTTTGGAGTTATCTTGGATCCTTGCATTGCTGAGAGGAGATGAGTCTGTCAAAGTTAGTCATCGAACATTGTGGCTGTTACTGTGTACAACTGAACTCAGGTCTTCTTGACTCTAACCCAGTACTCTAATCCACTGAGGTACCTAGCTGCCTCCAGAGAACTTAGGAGTTCTCAAATCTAAATCTCTCATTTTGTAAATGAGGAAACTGAGACTCTGAAGGTTAAAGCAACTTACCCAAGGTCACCCATGGTAAGTAGCAGAGCAAATATTGGAATCTGGGTTTGAATTCTGCCTCTGACACTACTAGCTATCATGGCAAAGTAATATCACCTCACCACAGGGGTCCAGAAAAGGAAGGGCATTTTACCTTCAGTAGAAAGAGACAGTTTAAGGTTCAGAATATTCAGTGGAGGACCGTTCCCTTCCAGCTCTATAACACTCAATCCAGTGCACTTGACTGCCTCACATTATTATCATTATTTTTTTTAAAGAGTATGGCTAAGGTTGATTTGGAGTTATACAGACAAGCAACTTCAAGGTGACAGATAAAGAAGAATCCACTTTTCTTCTGCTCTACCTTATACGACAAGAGCCCAGAGAAGGAAGGGCCAAGATCAAGTAGGGTTGTAGATTGTATTTTCTACTCATTGAGTCTCTCTCCTCATAGGCTCCTGAAAACAATTCATGACTGGGGGAGATTGGCCAAGGAGATCACCATCAGCATGTTGATATTACTGTTTAGTGTAGATTTGATTTTCTCTGGGATGACTTGGGGATCTTGGTTAACCAGACATTAGAAACCTGAAGATAGCGTCAACACTCCCCATTCACTACAATGTATGGCACCCTGGAGCCAGGCTGATATTGCTCCCACCCCCCCCACCCCCAACTTGTTGCAATCACTTGAAAGGCTAATCACAGAATCTCACAGTTGGGGGACTGAAACACATTTCCTTGATCAGCTCAGTGTCAATTTTTTAGAAACAGAAAACGAATAGCAGTAGATAGCAGTGGTAGAGTAATGAAGGGTTGCCTATCTTTGACTACTCAGGAATCATTAATATTATGCTACTCATGGTAGCTTACCCTTATCTAGCACTTTAAGGTTCATGTAAAGTACTTTGTAAACTTTCAAGTGCTGTATTTATGCATCATTATCCCCATGAGGTGGTATCCAATATAGTTATGATTGCTCACATACCTTTTTAATTTAACTATTCCACTCCCTCCCCCCAAAAAAACATTTCATTACTAGAGCAGTTAATGTTGCTTGCCATGGTGTCATCTTATGAGCACTCATGGAAACTGTGATGCTTATGTGTCCCCAGTGAGGTGGAAGGTGCCTGGGGCCTGCCCGGTCAACCCTGAGTGAGTGCCCTGTGATGTCATGGCCATGGCACTGAGGCCCAAGGTTCGTTTACTTGGAGGCACTTACTGATGGTATACAACCATGTCTTCAGCACGAAGTTCAGACTCATTAAGCGAGCTTGAAGAGCAGATAGTGACTTCTATTGCATTTTTCACA